AATTGTAACAACTTATATCTTACATAAATGGTTAAAATCCCCTATTTTTATATAAGCAATTGTAACGTCTATATCTTACATAAATGGGTAAAACACCCTATCTTTTATACAAGCAATTGTAACGTCTTATGTCTTACATAAATTGTTAAAACACCCTATCTTTTATATAAGCAATTGTAACGTCTTGTATCTTACATAAATGGCTAAAACACCCTTTCTTTTATATATGCAATTGTAACGTCTGATATCTTACATAAATTGTTAAAACCCCCTATCATTTTATAAGCAATTGTAAAGTCTTATATCTTACACAAATGGTTAAAACACCCTATCTTTTATATAAGCAATTGTAACGTCTTATATCTTACATAAATGGTTAAAACACCCTTGGTTTTACATAAGCAATTGTAACGTCTTATATCTTACATAAATGGTTAAAACACCCTAGCTTTTATATAAGCAATTGTAACGTCTGATATCTTGCATAAATTGTTTAACCCCATATCTTTTATAAGCAATTGTAACGTCTTATATCTTACATAAATGGTCAAAACCCTCTAGCTTTTACATCAGCAATTGTAACGTCTTATATCTTACATAAATGGTTAAAACACCCTAGCTTTTATATGAGCAATTGCAACGTCTTATATCTTGCATAAATGGCTAAAACACCCTTTTTTTATATAAGCAATTGTAACGTCTTATATCTTACATAAATGGTCAAAACCCCCTAGCTTTTACATAAGCAATTGTAACGTCTTATATCTTACATAAATGGTTAAAACACCCTAGCTTTTATATAAGCAATTGTAACGTCTTATATCTTGCATAAATGGTCAAAACCCCCTAGCTTTTACATAAGCAATTGTAACGTCTTATATCTTACATAAATGGTTAAAACACTTTAGCTTTTATATAAGCAATTGTAACGTCTTATATCTTGCATAAATTGTTTAACCCCATATCTTTTTATAAGCAATTGTAACGTCTTATATCTTACATAAATGGTCAAAACCCCCTAACTTTTACATAAGCAATTGTAACGTCTTATATCTTACATAAATGGTTAAAACACCCTAGCTTTTATATAAGCAAATGTAACGTCTGATATCTTGCATAAATTGTTTAACCCCATATCTTTTTATAAGCAATTGTAACGTCTTATATCTTACATAAATGGTCAAAACCCCCTAGCTTTTACATAAGCAATTGTAACGTCTTATATCTTACATAAATGGTTAAAACACCCTAGCTTTTATATAAGCAATTGTAACGTCTTATATCTTGCATAAATTGTTTAACCCCATATCTTTTTATAAGCAATTGTAAAGTCTTATATCTTACATAAATTTTTAAATCACCCTAGCTTTTATATAAGCAATTGTAACGTCTTATCTCTTACACAAATGGTTAAAACCCCTGTCTTTTATGCAAGCAATAGTAATGTCTTATATCTTACATAAATGGTTAAATCTCCATATTTATATATAAGAAATTGTAACGTCTTATGTCTTAAATAAATTTTTAAAGCACCCTATCTTTTATATAAGCAATTGTAACGTCTCATATCTTACATAAATGGCTAAAACAATATATCTTTTATATAAGCAATTGTAACGTCTTATCTCTTATATAAATAGTTAAACACCCTATCTATTATATAAGCAATTGTAACGTCTTATATCTTAAATAAATGGTTAAAACACCCTATCTTTTATATAAGCAATTGAAACGTCTTATGTCTTACATAAATAGTTAAAACACCCTATCTTTTATAAAAGCAATTGTAACGTCTTATATCTTACATAAATGGTTAAAACACCCTATCTTTTATATAAGCAATTGTAACGTCTTATATCTTACATAAATGGTAAAAGCACCTCATCTTTTATATAAGCAATTGTAACGTCTTATCTCTCACATAAATGGGTTAACACCCTATCTTTTATATACGCAATTGTAACGTCTTATTTCTTAAATAAATGGTTAAAACACCCTATCTTTTATATAAGCAATTGTAACGTCTTTTATCTTACATAAATGGTTAAAATACCCTATCTTTTATATAAGTAAATGTAACGTCTTATATCTTACATAAATGGTCAACCCCCCAGCTTTTTACATAAGCAATTGTAATGTCTTATATCTTACATAAATGGTTAAAACACCCTATCTTTTATATAAGCAATTGTAACGTCTTATATCTTGCATAAATGGTCAAAACACCCTAGCTTTTACATAAGCAATTGTAACGTCTTATATCTTACATAAATGGTTAAAACACCCTAGCTTTTATATAAGCAATTGTAACGTCTTATATCTTGCATAAATGGTCAAAACCCCCTAGCTTTCACATAAGCAATTGTAACGTCTTATATCTAACATAAATGGTTAAAACACCATAGCTTTTATATAAGCAATTGTAACCTCTTATATCTTGCATAAATTGTTTAACACCATATCTTTTTATAAGCAGTTGTAACGTCTTATATCTATATAAATGGTTAAAACACCCTATCTTTTATATAAGCAATTGTAACGTCTTATATCTTATATAAATTGTTAAAACACCCTCTATTTTATGTAAGCAATTCTAACGTCTTATATCTTACACAAATTGTGAAAAAACCCTATCTTTTATATAAGCAATTGTAACGTCTTATATCTTACATAAATGTTTAAAACATCCTATCTTTTATAAAAGCAATTGTAAAGTTTTATATCTTATATAAATGCTTAAAACACCCTATCTTTTATATAAGCAATTGTAACGTCTTACATCTATATAAATGGTTAAAACCCCGTATCTTTTATATAAGCAATTGTAATGTCTTATATCTTACATAAATGTTTAAATCTCCTATTTTTGTATAAGCAATTGTAACGTCTTATATCTTACATAAATGGTTAAAACACCCTAGCTTTTATATAAGCAATTCTAACGTCTTATATCTTACATAAATGGTTAAAAGACCCTCACTTTTATATAAGCAATTGTAACGTCTTATATCTTACATATATGGTTAAAACACCCTAGCTTTTCTATAAGCAATTGTAACGTCTTATCTCTTACATAAATGGTTAAAACCCCCTATCTTTTCTATAAGCAATTGTAAAGTCTGATATCTTACATAATTTGTTAAAACCCCCTATCTTTTTATAAGCAATTGTAACGTCTTATCTCTTACATAAATGGTTAGAACTCCCTATTTTTATATAAGCAATTGTAACGTTTTTTATCTTACATAAATGGATAAAACACCCTGTCTTTTATATAAGCAATTGTAACGTCTTATATCTTACATAAATGGTTAAATCACCCTAGCTTTTATATAAGCAATTGTAACGTCTTATCTCTTACATAAATGGTTAAAACCCCCTATCTTTTATATAAGCAATTGTAACGTCTTACATCTTACATAAATTGTTAAAACACCCTCTCTTTTATATAAGCAATTGTAACGTTTTATATCTCACATAAATGGTTAAATCACCCTTTCTTTTATATAAGCAATTGTAATGTCTTACATCTATATAAATGGTTAAAACACCCTATCTTTTATATAAGCAATTGTAACGTCTGATATCTTACATAACTTTTAAACCCCCCTATCTTTTTATAAGCAATTGTAACGTCTTATCTCTTACATAAATGTTTAAAACTCCCTATTTTTATATAAGCAATTGTAACGTTTTATGTCTTACATAAATGGATAAAACACCCTATCTTTTATATAAGCAATTGTAACGTCTTATATCTTACATAAATTGTTAAAACACCCTAGCTTTTATATAAGCAATTGTAACGTCTTATCTCTTACATAAATGGTTAAAACACCCTATCTTTTATATAAGCAATTGTAACGTCTTGTATCTTACACAAATGGTTAAAACCCCTGTCTTTTATATAAGCAATGGTAATGTCTTATATCTTACATAAATGGTTAAATCTCCTATTTTTATATAAGCAATTGTAACGTCTTATGTCTTACATAAATTGTTAAAACACCTATCTTTTTATATAAAGCAATTGTAACGTTTTATATCTTACATAAATGGTTAAAAACACCTATCTTTTATATAAGCAATTGTAACGTCTTATATCTTACATAAATGGTTAAAACACCCTAGCCTTTCTATAAGCAATTGTAACGTCTTATCTCTTACATAAATGGTCAAAACACCCTATCTTTTATATAAGCAATTGTACATCTTATATCTTACACAAATGGTTAAAACACCCTATCTTTTATATAAGCAATTGTAACGTCTTATATCTTACATAAATGGTTAAAACACCCTAGCTTTTATATATGCAATTGTAACGTCTTATATCTTACATAAATGGTCAAAACACCCTATCTTTTATATAAGCAATTGTAACGTCTTATATATTACATAAATAGTTAAAACACCCTATCTTTTATATAAGCAATTGTAACGTCTTATATCTTACATTAATGGTCAAAACACCCTATCTTTTATATAAGCAATTGTAACGTCTTATCTCTTACATAAATGGTCAAAACACCCTATCTTTTATATAAGCAATTGTACGTCTTATATCTTACACAAATTGTTAAAACCCCTGTCTTTTATATAAGCAATTGTTACGTCTTATATCTTACATAAATGGTTAAATCTCCCTATCTTCTATATAATCAATTGTAACATCGTATGCCTTACATATATGGTTAAAACACCCTATCTTTTATATAAGTAATTGTAACGTCTTATATCTTACATAAATGGTCAAATCCCCCTAGCTTTTACATAAGCAATTGTAACGTCTTATATCTTACATAAATGGTTAAAACACCCTAGCTTTTATATAAGCAATTGTAACGTCTTATATCTAACATAAATTGTTATAACACCCTATCTTTTACATGGAAAATTTTAACGTCCAACGTATTATATAAATGATTATAATGATCTTATCCCTGATATAATAAAAAATTGTGTCGTAGGCAACACGCAGCTTGCTGTGAGGCGTAGATATGACGTCCAATGCCACCTTCCGCTTATGTTCGTATCAAGTTGAAAACATCAAAGTTAAGCAACGTGTAGCCTGATCAGTAACAAGATGAGTGACTGCATGGGAATACCAGACATTATAATCTTGCATATACGGGTGGTGTAATGGATAATATCTCGGAACTTGAAATCGGTGGGTTGTGTTTCTATTCTAATCAGTGTCGTTTTATTGACTTATAAACAAATAGCCGTGCTATTTTATCCACTAGGCCGCATCAGTGAATGAATCCTGGGGACTTATAAAACTAATGTGTCAGTAACCATTTTTATCAGAGCTCATATTGCAATTTTTGTTATTGTTCTTCTCTCACTCTCTCTCTCTCTCTCTAGCTCTCAGTATTACCGGTTACAATATTGTATTCATACCTGATCTTGGATGACCTACGATATTTTTGTGACCATCATATGCCCCGATTCCTTAAGTTTTCGTATTTCGAATTGATGTATTCTGTCTATTATTTCAACCACATCCCATAGAGGGCGGTGGTCTAGAACAATCTACGCCCATGCGAACTAAAGAGTTCTGTTCGAAATTCCAATATATACCACCTGAAGAAGGCTGGAGCGTACAACGGCCGAAACTTCGTGAGTAAATAAAGATGAGAACAACAGACCGAACAATGTATATAATGTAAAAAGATGTGTACAATATTTCAAATGTACATGGTTGAAATAGCAATAATCTCTACTAGTAAAGCAAATCTATTATAACATGTCAGTTTCGCTTTCGTTTGACCTGTCATTTATACTACAAAAGATGTGCGATGAAGCAGTACTTATTTTATGTTCCGTGTACGTAGGCGATCATGGCTCTCCACTACTTCCTATCCCTCGTGGTTCCCAATATAGTTTGCCCCTTTGTTACATCAAATTGCTTAAACACGCCAGGAATGTTTCTTTCTTTCTTTCCTTTAGCTTGTCTTTTTTCCCCTCTGTTCGACCTGTGAGTATAAGATTCTCCAAGCCCTCCTTTCTCCCAGAAATTTCAGCTGATGATAAGTATAAGTTTCCTCCTTGTTTGTATCCTCTCTAAAACTTCACCGTTGCTCACATGTTCGGTCCATGATATCCTTAGCATAATTCTGTAGAATCATAACTCTCTTGTCTCGCGTCTCTTCTTAATCCTTGAGGAGTCCGTCCAACATTCGCTGCCGTAAAGGAGGACAGATACCACGGAGCGTTCAGTAATCTTTTCTTTGTTACCAACGAAATCCTCCTGTTTCGTAATACGCTGCCTAACTTTTGGAATGCGTCTTTTTGCCATCTTCATACGTCTTCGGATCTCAACGTCTCATTTACCGTTCTCTGCCAGATCACTTCCCAGATATTTTCATTAAGCCTGCTTGATCTTAGTGTCCCCGACCTGTAAATCGCATTTCGGTGTCATCATCTTGCTGATAAGCATACATTATGTCTTCTTGTAGTTTATACTTAGTCCCTTCTTCTCGCTCTCCTTCGCTACATTCTCTAGAAGGTTTCACAATTTCCTTTATGCTATCGGCACTGTGTCATCTGCGTATCTTGTATTGTTAATATTGCTGCCGCCAATGGTGGTAGGATGTCCAGTTCTCTGAGAATTGCCTCGCTGTACAAGTTGAATAAGTCCGGTAATAAAACACGTACACAACATGCTATACGGCGTTTTGCGGCAGATAAACGTGTGAAGACATGAATGACATAAACGAGAATTTGTTTGTTATCGCCAATTTCTTTTATCATGATAATAACGTCATGTCCTCTCCCAGAAGACTTATCACAATTACCTCAAACACCTTGATATTTTTTTGGCATTGTTAGCAAAGATATGCTACTTTTCTCTTTAAGAACCGTTTTTTTCTGTTTTGTTTTTTTAGTTGTCTCTCTTGAAAACAAGTCAATCATTGGCTCAATTATGGGAAATTCTTGAAGAAGGAATGGCAAGCAAAATTTTTGATTTAATATTTTCCATTATATTCTGAAAACGTCTTTTTATTCCTATATATTCGTAGCAATCTGATTGAGTGAACAAATTATTTCCATTGAATTTCAAAATTTCCGCTACATTGTGCACTTCAATATAAAAGAACGATTCCGTTTCTGTTATTTTAATTTTTTTTACGTCTTCAGATTTATGGAATCGATGAGCTACCAAAAAAGGAAGCCGCAAGAATTAATATTCTTGAAGAGAAAAAATTTGGAGAGATTAAGGAGAAACGTCTTCTTCCAAATGCATTATTGTTTTAAGGCGTCGCATTTGTAGCATGAATATACGTGTTCCAAAAAATGTCAGAACTAAAATAGATATTTCGAAGTGCCTGATTAATATATTAAATGTACGTGATCATTTTTCTAGCTAATACATATGACATGCAGCATGTCCCTTCATTCACTTTGCACAGATTCGAAGAAATACCTGAACGAATTCAAAAACGGAATAATTCTCATCCTGGTTTCGATGATAAACTATATCTGCACCCTGGTTAAGACGATAAACTACATCTAGCAGCAAGCCCTCTGATCAGGAGGGTTTGAGGAACGTGAAATAACCTCTTAATTGCTGTTGTTCCCAGGTCCAGCCTGACCCGAGGTAGCAGCACTTGTTAGTCTCCCAGCTATGGGCAAATAGTTAACCACCAAATCCGCCCGCTTCCTGGATAAGACGATAAACTACATCCGGCGTTCTGGATAAGACGATAAACTACATCCGGCGTCCTGGATAAGACGATAAACTACATCCGGTGTTCTGGATAAGACGATAAACTATATCCGGCGTCCTGGATAAGACGATAAACTACATCCGGCGTTCTGGATAAGACGATAAACTACATCCGGCGTCCTGGATAAGACGATAAACTACATCCGGTGTTCTGGATAAGACGATAAACTATATCCGGCGTCCTGGATAAGACGATAAACTACATCCGGCGTTCTGGATAAGACGATAAACTACATCCTCAACCCCTGTAAGATGATAAACTATTTCTAACAGAAAGGCCTCTGATCAGGAGGTTTTGATGAGTTTTAAACTAAATTACTCTAAATTACTGTTGTTCTCAGTTACACCATGACCTTGGGACTAGCACTTGCTAGGGTTCCAGCGATAGGCAAATAGTTAACGCCAAACTAGTGTCAAAACGTGTAAAAATAGGTTGTATTACCAGCAATACATTTTTGTAAAAAAAATATTACCAGCAATGAATTTTTGAAGAAAGAATTATCAGCAATGCATTCTTACCGGCTATACAATTTTGAAAAAAAATATTACTAACAATAAAAATCTTGTTGGCTTTAAATAACCTATTGAGGGTGATATGCTGTAAAACCTACCAAATCAAACTAATATATTCTAAGATAGATAGATAGATAGATAGATAGATAAAAAATATTACCAGCAATAACAATCTTGTCGGTATTAAATAACACGTAGAGGTTGATATGCCGTAAAACAAACCAAACCAAACTAATATATGCTGAGATAGATAGATAGATAGATAGATAGATAGATAGATAGATAGATAAAAAAAATATTACCAGCAATAACAATTGTACCGGTATTAAATAACACCTAGAGGTTGACATGGCGTAAAACAAACCAAACCAAACCAGAATAATTCTACCATTCGTCCGTGAATTATATATTGCTGCCATATCTAGTGTGTTGCACTTGTTATATATCTCGCGATTCTCGGAAAAATCCAAAGAAGGGTCTGTGATGTTATCGGTTCTGATCTGGCATTTCGACTTGAGTCATTTTCCAACAGCCGTGAGGTTGCTTCTCTCAGTCCTATCTATACCTATTTCTCTTCTCGCACTTCCGGTTCCTCGCTTTCCCGCCACGAACAATCTTCTAAAATTTAAATGCAACGTCAGTCGGCATCTTAATAGCCGTTCTCATATTGTCCTTTCTGTTCATTAGTCTTTGCGTCCATTTTTACTGCCAGTAACCTGTTACATTTCTACAAATGAATACTTTCATATACTTGTTCTTTCTTTTCTCTTGATTTCCTTCTTCATACATTGTCTAATTTTTTGCTTTCATTAACGTTGTCATTGTTTAGGCGTCTTTGAAAAGCTTTCTTTCTTTCCTTCTTCCTTACCTTCTTTCTTTCTCTCCTTCTTTCTTTCTTTCTTTCTATCTTTTTTTCCTTTTTCCTTCCTTCTTTCTTTCTTTCTTTCTCGTTTATGTTACAAACTTTCGTCCGCGTTTCTTTTCCTGTTTCTAATCAATTATTCTTTCTTCCTATTGAATTTCTTCCTTTCTTTCTTTTTTCAATATTTTTTCAAGTACATATTCAGGCTTATTTTGTTTGTTTGTTTGTTTGTTTGTTTTAATCTGTCTTTCTTTCTTCAAATTTACTTTTCTTCCTTCCAACTTTCTTTCTTTCTTTCTTTCTTCCTTCCAACTTTCTTTCTTTCTTTCTTTCTTTTTCTTTATTTATTAGTTATTATCTTTATTTATTTATTTATTTATTTTTCTTTCTTTATCTTCAAAAATCTTTCATTCTTTCTTCGTTTGTTTTCTTTCTATTTTTCTTTGTTCCATATTTCCTTCTTGCTGTCTTTCTTTTTCTGTCTTTCTTTCACCTTATTTAACTTTCTCTCAAATTTCTTTCTTTTAGTCTTTCGTTCATTCACCCTATTTTTCTTAGACCCGCATTTCTTTCATTCTTTCTTTCTTTCTTTTTTTCACCTTATTTTTTTTCTTTCTTTCTTTCACCTTATTTTTCTTTCTTTTTCTTTCTTTCTTTCTTTCTTTCTTTCACCTTATTTTTCTTTCTTTCTTTCTTTCTTTCACCTTATTTTTCTTTCCCTCTTTCTTTCTTTCACCTTATTTTTCTTTCTTTCTCTCTTTCTTTCTTTTTTTCTTTCACCTTTATTTTTTGTTTCTTTCTTTCTTTCTTTCTTTTCCATCTTATTTTACATTCTACCAAATATCTTTCTTTCTTTCTTTCTTTCTTTCTTTCTTTCACCTTAATTTTTTTTTTTCTTTCTTTCTTTCTTTCTTTTCTTTTCTTTCTTTCTTTCTTTCTTTCACCTTATTTTTTTTTTCCTCTTTCTTTTCTTTTTATTTTTTTTTTCTTTCTTTCTTCTTTCTTTCACCTTATTTTTTCTTTCTTTCTTTCTTTCTTTCTTTCTTTCTTTCTTTTCCATCTTATTTTACTTTCTACCAAATATCTGTCTTTCTTTCTTTCTTTCTTTCTTTCTTTCTTTCTTGTCAAAATCGACCGGTCACTCGGTGCCCGACATCATGAACGCTTTTTTTTATTGGAGTGGGGGAGGGTAATCAGTTTGATAGCCAATGGAATATTGAGGAGGTTGTATTGTTTATTATCGATTAATTACTATTGATTTTTTTGTCATTAACTACAATTTTCACATTCGATTGTCAACTCGCCGAACAGATGACTCAATTAAGTTGCGAACACAATTCAACAACAATATCATTTTGCACTGCACCAAGTGGGTCACCTATTAAAGGGCAGCTGCTTTATTTGCATAACTAGTAGGGTTATCCGTCAGAGCTCGGATTTTTGCGGAAAAAAAGAATGAAGAAAATGTTGCTTTTACGACAAAACAAAATGTTGAAAGAAAAATGCATGGATTTTCGGAACGAAAAGTAATTTCTGACAAACCCTTTGTAATTATTTACTACAAAAGGCCGTCTAAATTTTTCAAATAGGATTGTTAAAGGTTAATATAAAAATAAAAAAAAAAACAGTTACAATTTTAAACATATTATTAAATTGTTTTTTGGGGTTTTTTTTTTTCAAATGCGACTAATGTATTCTCTGGGAAATATATGTATTGCTTCCCTTCAAGACGATCTTGGCTCTCCATAATTTCCTTTCTTTTGTAACGCTTAGAAAATGTTCTCTTTTAGCCATCTCCACCAAAGTCTGCTCCGTCATTCTTTCTGTCAAACTTGTTAGGTAATTTGTGTGTTGCTTTTAAAAGTGTTAATGTATTTTCACTTGTTCTAAGGTAGTTGCGTACTGGAAATTTGCATATCGGAAAATTACGTACAAGACAATTGCGACCCTAGAGATTTGCGTCCCTGCAAAAATGCGTCCTGGATAATTGCCTACCTCTGATAATTTTTTTGAAGATTTTAAAGAAATTACCATAAATTTTGAAAAAATCATGCATAGTAATCATTATTTTCTTTAAAAAGGAATAAAAGGCATGAAATAAAAAAAAAGTATTTTTGTTTAAAATACAATGACAATTCAAAATACAATGACAATTTAAAATACAATGACAATTCAAAATACAACGAGAATCTAAAATAAAATGAGAATTTAAAATACAACGAGTATTTAAAATACAATGGGAATTTAAAATACAATATCAATTCAAAATACAACGAGAATTTAAAAAACAATGACTATTCAAAATACAACGAGAATTTAAAATAAAACGCGAATTTAAAATACAATGAGAATTTAAAATACAATATGAATTTAAAATACAATATGAATTCAAAATACGAGAATTTGAAATACAATGAGAATTTAAAATACAACGAGAATTAAAATGCAATATGAATTTAAAATACAATGACAATTCAAAATACAACGAGAATTTAAAATACAATGAGAATTTAAAATACAACGAGAATTTAAAATGCAGTATGAATTTAAAATACAATGACAATTCAAAATACAATGAGAATATAAAATAAAATGAGAATTCAATATAGACTGAGAATTCAAAATACAATGACTATTTAAAATACAATGACAGATTAATAGTGTTACAAGATCTCTCATCGCCAGTTTGTTTTTCTTAAGATAGTGGTAGCTGTAATTTTCCTCGTCCACGAATATCTTTCCACCAGTGTTTGATCATCGCTCTCCACATTTTCTTTCTCTTTGTAGCTTTTAATACATTTTGTCATTTGGTTATCTTCCCTAAAGCTTGTACCGTCATCCATTTAATCATTGCTAGGTAAGTGATCCGTCATATTCTTCTGTTTTTTCTTACCTGCAACCTGTTTTGTCAGTACCAAATTCTCCAAGCCCACTTTCCTCAATATGCGCCGTAGAAATTTCTCTTCCTGATGTTAAGCATAAATGTTTTATTTTGATTTCATTTTCTCTAGAAAATTGTCGCTGCTCATATGTTCGGTTCATAGTATCCTCAGTATCCTTCTGTAGAATCAACTTTCTGCTGCTTCAAGTCTATTCTGCATTTGTGATCAGATTGCCCAGCATTCAAGCGTATATCTTAGGCAAATTTAATAATTTTAATCGCCAAATTAACTCCTTTCAATCTTTTAAAATTTGCCATCTATCTTGAGATGGTGGATCCCTTATATTCCCTGATTTCATTGCTTTAAATAAGTATTGCTTCTTTACGACTCGACTTGAATCCAGGCTTACGGCCATCTCCCGTTGAAACCTCAGTTCGTGAACGATCCTTAAAGTTAAGCAACGTCGATCTTAGTCAGTACGGAGATGAGTGCCCGCTTGGGGTATTCCTAAGCGGGTATTCATTTCGATAATGATCAGGCTCTGTAAAAGTGCTACAAGCTTGGAAGTGCGGGCGGTGTAATTGATAGTAGATAGGAATTCTTAATCGGAGAAGCAAGTTCTAATTTCAGATGGACTCGTTATATTCACTTAGGCGCAAACATCCTTGAGAATTTAATTTATGTCGGTGTAATCGGAGAAAAATGAAAGCGAGACATAGCTTGTCAAAAATTATACATACGACGTGTATTCCAAAATTTTAAGAAATTTTTCTTGAGTGTCATTTATTAATGTCACTGAAGTACAAAACATTCAAAAGGTCGAACCTCTAACTTCAACTCAGTAAATGCCGATCCCTGTCACCACAAAATTCTATTGCACAGCGAGCCTTCAAATTGTCTTCACGTCCCGACTGCATTCAGTGTTGACAAGCAGTGTTTATTAAAGGTGTATTCAAATTGCTGTTACAGCCGTATCCTTCAATCGGGAAAGACAAAAGTCGGCAGGTCAGTTTACACACACACACACACACACACAAAAACATACATATATATATATATATATATATATATATATATATATATATATATATATATATATATTTTTGTTGGATTGATGTGAGATTGTGACCCTTTAGTTGCACGCTTTGTGATCGTCGACGATCGCTAACGCGTGAAACCCAGGGTCACAAACTCACATCAATCCAACAAAATATGTTAGCTCTATCTCTGATACTGAGCGCTTTCTAATAAGTATCGCGCATATAATATGTAAATAATAATATATATATATAATATATATATATATATATATATATATATATATATATATATATATATATATATATATTTATATTTACACACACACACACACACACACACACACACACACACACACACACACACACATACATATATAGGGTGTTGATTTCCTTTGAGATGTAAATATCACAGAAAGTACATGATTAAGGCAAATGAAATTAAAAAGTATTAATATTGAAGATCATAAGATTTATTCTTCCAAATCTGAATGAGAAATTCAAAAGCAGCTTGATTATGTGAACGATTTCACTAATGTGAAGTTTGTGGTCGTCCGGATCCTTTTGCTCTGCACAGACAGCCTTCCTCTTTGAACTTTTTATGCCATCTCCAAATCTGCATTCCTGTTGGTGACTTTCTAGAGAACTCTCTCATAAATGCACGCTGCACAGTCTTCTTTGACTGTGTTCTAGCAAACTCCAACACACAAAACGCCTTTCTCTTCTAGTAAATAGCATTTTTATACCTGTAAATATATGAATGTAATGAAAACCAAAATAATATAGATATTCTAACGTTCACAACATTAATTCAAAAGAGGACTCAATACCGATAATAGAGCAATAATTTTTTATTATAGTTTTTTCTTATAGACAAAACCATTTTACTTACTACAAAGATACAAATTTACTTCATTCGATTTAACCACTATTGTTTCACTCTGTCACTCTTTTGTCTTTCTGTATTTTTTTTTCAAACGAATGAAAAACGAAGTGACGTTTCACATGCGGCTTGCTTACAAAATAAAACTGTTCATAACCAATTTGGTTCTCACCTGTCGAAGTGAAATTTTAAATGCACTGAAACAAAGTTGCATCTTTGTAGTGAATAAAATGTTTTTGTCTATATGAAAAAAATTATAACATATATATATATATATATATATATATATATATATATATATATATATATATATAGTTGTAGAGTGGATAAATGAAACGGCAAATCATAAGCAATAAATAATTGTCAAATTTATGCATGAGGAGTAAACATAATAGTGCTCAATGCTGTTATACAGGCAAAGATATGTATTAATTAGTAAGTACACGTTTATGTTTTAATTAATATATATATATATATATATATATATATATATATATATATATATTAATGAAATACTAAAATTACAATCTATTATTGCAATTATTAATCTAGGACAGTTACAATTGCGTCTCGTCAAAAACTCTAACAACTTCTGGAATGAACATCATAGGTTATGTCAAAAAATAAGCATAGATTAAACATTTAACACTTATTTTAGGAACTTTTTTCCTCTCGACAAGAGTGCAGTCGGCGTAATCTTGACTACAACCAAGAGGGTGGGTAACCCCGTGGCGGTGTAATGGTTAGCAAGCTTGTCTCGCTGGCACAGTTACGAGTGAGTAGTGAGTTCGATCCTCACTGGGTGCCCCATACATTCGGCCTTTTGCCACATCTAAGCTGCGTTTGGAAAATCGCTACAACCGAGAGGGTAACATCTCTGACAAACATTCACTAATGTAGATGAATTTAGACATTACATAGCTGTTCAAAATATTTCCCATTTTCCTAATAATATTTTCGATACCTTACGATTTAATTCCGATCCATGTGACATAATGAACGGTTGGGGAAACGAAATCGGACCGAACACTTCGATGGAAATATAACCGAACTAACAGGAAGAAAAAAACAAAAACAAACTCTCACATGTAGATAATATATTGTCTTCTGTTCGTAGCCATGGAAACATTTTTCGTTGTCTGCCAGAATTGAGAGTAAGTGGAAATGTTAATTGAATGATTGCAGACGATATACTTAAAACACGTCAAAAGAAATGGAAGAAAATATAAAATGAAGAAAATACAAAAGGAAGAAAACATATTAAATAAATGCATCCTTGTCATTAGAATGCCAACAATTACCAATATGTCTTTCTCAGCTGAATATTGTGGCAGAAATGAAGGAAGACATTTTGTTTGTATTCATTTCGAAAACGAATACACGTTAA